AGCAAAAGAAGCAAAGAAACGAAAACGTGAAGAACAAACTTCCGACGAATATTACATAAAAATGCAATTGACTCCTTAACTTCATCCAAAATTTATTAATTCGATGACAGTTTAGAGAATCCCAAACGCCAAGTGAAACGCAGTTCAACAACACAATAGTTTCTTTACAATACTATCTGTTTGATCAAAATTTTATACATGTTCTTAATTTTAGAATTAAAAAGTTCTTGGAACAAAATTGTTAGGAGTTGTTTCTGAACGATTTGCGTATTAAAAATTATTTGAATGAGAAGGAAGAAGTGTTCAAAAAAATAAATTTGTGTCTACAGCAGTATTTCTTCTACAGAAAAAAAAAAAAAAATAAACGAATATTGTGATTAATTGTAACGGTTAATAATAAGATTTCAATTACACGTAAATTTTCTTGACATTGAACATAACGTGGTTTATAACAAATTCCCTGTTTTTTTAATGCAGTTGTTAATGGACGATAAGATAAAATTTAGTAATTGATATTGGTTTGTCTGTATCATATGGACAACATTTCAAATGTATCAACCTAATCTTTGTTTTTTGTCTAAAATCTGAGACTCCAATAGATTTTGGTAACCCTGAATAAGTTTTAAATCCTGAAAAGATATAATCCCTAATTTTATTAGCTTTCACTCGCACAAAACATTGTTATTGGATTTTACATGTTATATAGTTTTATTAGTATTATTTTGGCAATGTTGAAAGCTTTTTAGATATTTCAGAGTCGCAAGACCTCTGAACCCATTAAATCCAAGGTTTTCAAAAATATTCGGAAGTTTCAGCATTTTAAATCTATTCAAACAAGTTCTTAGAAAAAATTTTTAAACGAATAAAAATTAAATATCTATCTTTATATAATTTGCCACATCTAATATTTAAAATTTTTAGAACTGTAATAAAATTATTTTTATTTTTTTTTTTTATTAAATATGAAAAAAAATGAAGTTATGTCGATATTAATACAGAAGCTTCGACAGAGCTAGTCATTCTAGCAAACATTCTAACAAACATTACACCTTTGAATACTATGCTACCTATCTACAGTTTTTTCCCTCTATTCGTATTTTTTTCTTCAACGTAGAATTATTGCATAGTGAACTTGTTATTATATTTGTCATTATCTTTCCCTTGTTTCGAGATTTTAAAGATTTCAGACTTAATCTTTGATTGGAATCATTGAAATACAGGAGATTTACAACGGTTTGGATCAAGTTAGTTAATTTCTGAATATTATTTTATTTTAATCTATGAAATCTGAATCTATTGTATCAATTTCAATCACGAAGATTTATCGCTCGAGCTATGTCTTCAGAAAATCTACAAACAACCCAATTGGCGAATGTTTTTGAATTAATTTACAAAAATAATGATTTAGACTTTCACATTGTTAATAACAGAGGATCAATTTAGAAGAGAAAAGACTATAAAATCTACCAAAAAGGAGAATAACAATATTACACGGAAAAATACAAATTGAAGGATCTGTTCTTTGTCGGTTTTAGAAACAATCGTGAAATTATTGAAAAAGATGAAACTACCAAAAATTCGACCAGATAAATTCGTAAAACGATATCTGACTTTGAAGGACCATCTTTATATTGCACAATATACAAAAAATGACCGTGCCTACATTTCAAACATCCACCGTTGTGCTTAAGTCCTTAAGAAATAAAAAAATAATGTCATTTATAAATAACGTGACGAATTTAAAAAAATTAGGGAAAAACGGGATTGAACTGTAAAATCAGAAACTTATTCATTTTTTTTCAGATGATGAGAGAATGCGAACCAATATTAGAGACCCGATCGAAATTTTCGATTTTTTTCTTCTATGAATCCCTTGAATACAATGATCAAATGAATTCTGGACCAAGTATGTAGAGAATCACAAAAATAACGAGTCACAGAAGATCTGATTTTCAGCAGTTCATACAATTAACAATTTCTCGTCGCTCCATTAACTCATATTTTTCAATAGAAATGGATTGAAAGCACTTATGTATACAAAGAAAATAGTTCTCAAAGTACGTTAATTTTTTAGGATACAATGAAAATAACCACTAATTACATGACTTAAAGAGTTAAAGACTCATTTTTTTATGTTCGTTATCAAATCGTTTGATAAAAAAAATATGTTATATAATTTTTAAAAATACCAGTTGAAGATCAAAATGTAGCCACTAGATCAATATTAGACAAACGATAATATTTGGTGACAAAATTTTGAAATTTTAGGTATTTTTTAATATTAACTTTTAACAGACTCAATAGTTTTTCGATATATTTTAATAACTTATTAAACGTATGTAAATAGTTTCATTAGATAAATTGTAAATAAGTAATTCTATTCTTGTTTAAACTATTAAAACATGAAAAAGAAAACATGAACAAAAATTGATAAAAATAAGAAATTATGTAAAATAAAATTGAATGTAGCATACACGTTAGGGAGAGAAAATTCAGATGATGTTTTCGCTAAATTGTACACGACCATTAAATGTATACATTGTCAAAAATTGAGAAATGAAATTCGTAGTAGTTGTTACATACGATCCTTTGCACCATCGTTAAAGTTTCTTTGAAGCTGTACTGGGCGTTCGAAGATACGCGATAAAAATTGTTAACTATCATACAAATACTATCAATATCATTCCGTCTATGACGATCGAGAATCGACCGTTCCAAGAAAAATATTGCCTTTCCATTGGACAAATACGCATAACTTATGCACCGTATGAAAGTGTGTATATCTTAGGCATACGTGTTCGCTTCACAGGAATGGGTAGTTTTGAACGTATAGCGTTACATTAGTGCCACACAGTTAAACATTTCCCATGACGAAATTGTTATATTGGTCGATTACTATCGTGTTAATCCACTGCGTAAATTGCTCAGCGATTAATCACTTTAATACCTTTATTGACTATATATCGAACTATCTTAATCGGATTATCAACTTAATTCAATTTTAGTATGGAACTGAATACCGTAATATCTATAAAATAAATGTGGATATGAGTTAATATTCTGACAATTTGTTCGTTGATGAATAATACAACGAATCGAGAGCGAGATGAAAACTGAGTGCAAAGTAATTGACACTCATCAGTTGAACTAATTTGAACCGACTCCTCACTCTGGCAATGAAGATAAAGATTTGACAGACAACATTTAGTTTCAGACAGTATTTAATATCGTTTGTAATATTTATTAAATTTTATTCATTTTGTCAAAAAAAAAAGTAGCCAGAGAAATTCTCATAAAATTATTTCTAATAATGTTCTGTATATGTAGACATTAATAAGATGATTGGATATTTATTTTATAATCAAATAATGACAAATAAACGAGCATCGTAAAATACACAAATATCAAATATTAAATTGATAAGTTTGCTATTAATATAAGAAAAGCAAACAGGGCGTACGTGAAAGTTTAAAAAAAAAACATTTTTCTTTAATGTTTTAGATTTTGAAAATAAATTATTATGATAAAAGATCGAAATAATTCTGGATCAAAGTAGGCATAACTTACAAATATTTCTAAAAATAGAGAAATCATAGAGAAGTCATAAAAAAATCAAAATAAATTTCAGCAATGAAAAATTTCAAATTCAAAGAAAAAAATAGCTGGTTTCTCAATTTTTTTCTGTTTCTTTTTAATGTTGTCATTCAAGATTAAAGTACACGGAAAAGAGTTAGAGAAAAAGGAAAATCATGTCGTAAAAAAAATGGTAATTCTATTAAATTTCCATTGAAAATGTATCTCTACAGTTCATGTTGAAAATCAGTAACATGTTGCAAATCGGAAGTGATAACGACATTTAATATCTGAAATTTTGTTTTAAAGTCGAAACGAAGTATATTGCACTATGTTGTATTAAAATTTAATTGAATATAATTTAATTCAACAACATTTAGTGAAAGAAAAAAAGAAAAAGAAATGAGCATAAAAACTGTTCGATTGATATTGAAACCAGAACACAAAATATTAGAATAACTTTTTGTCAAGAAATTGTGATGAACGAAATTAAACACTGTCTAGTCTCGTACACGAAGTTAATTCATATAGTAATTAACTAATACAATTAAAAATTAATTATCCAAACCCTGCACCGATCTTAGTTACCATTGGGAATTTTTATCCAACACAAGCGAAACCATTTCACTATTAATATCCTATGCATCTATCGACAATGAAACCGAGTCTTACAGGTACCCACTAACGTCTTGAGAGTTTCGTGAATTAAACATTGGTCAGTTTCTTGTCTATTCTTCTTCGTTATTATTTTGCTTTATATACATTTGTGTATGGACGATTAAGACTTTTTTCTACGTAACTTCGTCACTCTGTGAGCGTTCGCAAAATTAATTATGTACTTACGTACACGAGCATGTGGACGCACATGTGTGGAATGTGTTTCGCTAATTTTTATTACTTGAAACCTAATTTTTACCTTTTAAACGATACTTAAAAATTGTTTGATAATTAATATGAATATCAGATAAATATACAGGTAAGTATATACAAAACTGCAAAATATAGCAGCGCAAGAAGACTTAATATAAGAAGACTGGCTTGCAAGGAGAAATGGACAGTGTATTGTCAAACATACTTATATTAATATGCAATAGAAGCTGCTTTTTTCGTGCGATCTTTCATTTGATCGTAATACACAAGGCAAATCAAAAATGATCCAAATTTATAAAATTTGAATTATTATCTTTAAAATACGAATTATGCAACAGTTAATATATTAAATTTAAGTGATTGTTTTAATTAGAAGTAATCCGAGTTGATAAATGTTAGGTTTGTTTTGTTTCTTCGCGATACTGTGTAATACTTTGGAAATTTAATAAAACGAAACGATTCAATATTGTTAGTTAATAGTATCAGTGAAACAACCTGTACGTGTACATATACACGCGTGAATACATACATATACATATTTAGCTATTAGGTAGTATATCACATGCAATTTAAATAGGATTGTCAAACACGTATCTGTATAGACAGTGTTCCTATTCTTAATGATGCTGCATATGGTAAATACAATACGAGGTAATCACTGAATATGTGCGCATGCACATGTAACTTCACGCGAGAAAGCTTTATTCATGCCCTTTTTCAACTGGAAGAAGAAAAAAGAAATTGTACACGCATAGAAGGAATTGGACGAATGAAAATGGCGTTACTTTTTGCTATGTAATCTCTGCCAGTTTCCGTTCTCTAAACAGATCCAGTGATTAGATTCCGATAATCGGACATATACATTTATTTCTCAATATCACATTCCAAGTTATGTAGTAGAACAGCGGTAAAAGCGATTGGCTGAAACGAAAATGCCGAAAGAAGAATGAAATAACGACGATAAGGAAGGGAACACTAAACGAATTGGCTGCGTTCACTTTTTGGTTTTGCCGTGGTTTGCACGTAATTCGCATTGTAAGTTCTTCAGCGTTAAGTTATGTACAAATTGGCATTATATATATCACAGTTACAATATAAACATGTTGAGAAATGCGGAAGGAAATTCTGCAAAGCATTGCTTGCTTTCTTCTTCAGCGTAAACCACAACGTACAGAACTGTGAAAACTTTCCCCATTTTCACATTCTTAAATGTACATAACATAAGCAAAAGTAATCTTTCTCTTCGCCCTATGAACTTCTTTTTAACGAACGATTCAATAACCTATCTTATACTAACAAACACATGTATTTTTCGTTTTTTTTTTTTTCTTTTTTCTTTCTTACGTTTTTCGTTAAATTCTTGCTAAGACTATGCTTTCGATATTTCCGGACGCGTGTTTAATCATTTGTTTCGTTTTATTCTTGAAATAAACATAAAGAAGAGTTGAACATCGTAAAAGACCACGCGCGCCTCTCTTCCAGTGCTTAGTTGCCTTCAACTCTTTCAGAAGAGTGAAGAAACGGCATGAGACAAAGAGGGACGTTAACAAAATAATACTAACGTAAAAATAATCAGGTTAAATCCATATTGCTCACCTCTGCGATTAGATAAAACAAAAATTTAAAAAAAAGGAGAGAAAAAAGAGAAAAGAAAATGAAGAGAGAAAGAGGAAACAAAAAACGGATAAACAATGGAGTTGCAAAGAAATGCAAATATTCCTTTGTATTAACGAAGAATGAAATCGTATATACTGATATACATGGAGATGACATGGTCCTCAATGATTATGTAAGCACTATGTAAAAGCAAGTTAACAGTCTGTATGTATGCCTTATTACATTTTTTCCAAGATTGAATAGTACCGGACCCTTCTCCTAAAGATTGTCTTTGCAGCCGAGCAAAGTGCTGTTGTTTCGGTACAGTAAATTCAAAGACGCGATATTTTGTAGATAAGAGTTTTTTTTTTTTTCAGTAATTAACGATGTAATTTTGTCATTCAAAACTTCGAGGCGTACAAGGTTAACAATTTTTATTTCGCACGGAAACGTGTACGTCCAAGCGATAAAACGATTCAGAAACTTAATTTAAAGTTACTTAATCCCATCTATGGAATTCACATTTTCTTCATTGGAACTAAAATTTTCGTGCTTTAATTTGAAAAAAATAAATGAATATACACAACTGATAAAATTATCAGTTGATGTGCGAAAATGGTTTCAAATAAGAAAGAAATAAGATACCGATGAAAAACTTTTTTGTGAAGCTTCGACTTTCTTTGTAAAACGTATGAAAACGAGAGACAATGTAGAAATTTGAGAAACGTTGGTTCGTTAGTAATGGTCAGCAGCAAAGACAGCCAGAAAAACTGTATTCGTACCAAGTATTGCTAGGACCAAATCAAATACTTCACTACTAACGTTTCTTGCCTAAGATTGATACAGAAGTACAGGAGGAATTAAACCGACACACCATTTGTCCCCATCTTATTATTGGGCACTACATACACAATGCAGCTTAGATAGCAGTTGACGGATATATATGCAAAGATGATTATATTAAAGCTCCACCAACATTCAATCAATAACCAATTTTACGAATATTTCTAATCTTAATACAGGCCGATCGATTCAACTTAGATATTAAGAAAATTAGACCTCGAGACAGTAAAATTGTTGTGTCTAACAATAAGACATTTTGTCATCCCTATGTGTTGGACAGTGTATGAATTTGCATTTTCTTTTCTTTTTTTCCTTTCTTTCTAATACAAAATATTCTCGTTTGTCGTTGTGCGAATACCTGTTTTGAATAGTTTCATAGGAATATGGAAATAATCGTCATTCAAGTCTTTTAAGAACGCAGAACGAAACGTCGTTCAATGATTTCGTGGAACTCGAACTTGCGTGATCACATCGCAATCGAAATTATAATAAAACAAAATCGTACAAAGTTGTACATAAGCATATTGGAACGTTAAAATATCTTGAGCCTAGCAATAGTTATTAATGTGAAAGAGATTACTCAATACAGAGTAGAGGAAATGCTGAACTTTGCAAGTCGGCCGTCATAAAACTAATTAACTTGTCTAGAACGTATATACGTACTAAGTATGTAGGAATAGTTTAGTGTGTTTCACGTATGCACGTTAAAAATTCTCCGTATATCTTATACAAGTTGTACGTACTTGCACATAAATCTACGTGTACACACGTATTCGCATGACATGTACATGTATATTTATGCATATGTATGTACACATATAATGTTTCATGTATATGCGTGTAATTATATACACGAATATTTAATATTTTGTTTTATAGTTAAACGTAATTGCGACTATGCGCTGTGCGTAAATATTACGCCAGAGCATTTTTGTGGATCCGTGTAGCGAGTATGCATTAGAAAAGTCCTCTCTTTCAACCTTTCTTTTAAGATTTATGTGTAGTGGACATCATTTGCGTATATATGTATATATATGTATATATATATATATATCTATATATCGAGTCAGATCAAAGGCTACACACATTTCACAGATTGAGAAAAGCTCACCCGATCTGAGATTTAAGTTGCTATATCGCATTTTCAATTTTTCGAAATATTCGAAGTTTTCGAAATGTATTTTGACTATCTGATATACATCTTGGGTCACACATTTAAGGAAGGCCACATTGAACTAGTCTAAGAAATTACTGCCTAGCACTCTGAACAAATATACTGATGAAATTTAACCTATTATCTAACCATATGACACATACTTAAATGAGTAATAGTTGGAAATTCTTGCGAACGTTCCTTTCTCCTCTCTTACTTTTTTTTTCTTTTTTCTTTTTTTTTTTTTTTTT